GGCCCGGTGCGAAAACGGCCTGGCCCGGCGCGGCGCGAAAACGGCCGCGGACCACGCGGCCGGGCCGGAAAAACAGCCGCGGACCATGTGGCACGGGCAGAAAATGGCCACGGACCACGTGGCACGGGCGGAAAATGGCTCGTACCCCGAGGCGGGGGTCGCAAAACGAGGTAAAATTTTGGGGCCAGAGCTGGTCGTAACCCGAAAAATTCGCAAGCAGAGGCGTTCGTATCCCGAGGTATCACTGTATATGGTAAATATATGCCTCTCCAATTCCACCTAACTCACGCACTAAGAACAGCCAAGGAGGCCATGTTCGTGGTCCACCAGTGGGTGTACTTTGGAATGTAGGGCCAAAAGAAGGGCTTTATTAGTGACAGAGCTACAGCTGTGGATTTCTCTTCTGGTGGAAAGCAAGTGGTCTCTGGCATATCTTCTTTTAAACATTATTAAAAACATGGTTTTCACCCTTGCACTAGCAGAGTAACAATGGCCCCAGCAAGGCCAATTGCCCTTTTACTAAATCACAGAATTTCCAACTGTGATTGACAGTTATTCACTAATGCTTCTTGTATTCCTTTTTTGTTTGTTCTGTATGAGTTTGCTTTAATTGTTTGTAGTTTGACTGTAATAGTTTTACAGCAGATTGTATTTATCATGTTTTGTATACTACTCTGGGTTCTTTTGGGAGAAAGAACAGTATGAAAATAAAACAAATGGTAAGGAATAGGAATAGCCCCTGATGTTCTAAGAGGCTGGAAAACCTTTAGGGCAAGCAAAGCTGAGAAATATGTTCAGCGTGGAATTTCAGTCAAGGGGTAAAGACCAACATTCCAATTTATAGTAATTATCTTGGTTTTATGGTGTCCTACAGTGAGGAACAGCACAGAGTTTGTAAGGATGAGGGTGCAATGACATTCCCACAACAGGTTCTTGACTGAGTTCTTTGGCTCCTTCTGGCAGCTGAAACCTAAAGGTCCTCAGCAGGATGGTCAAGAAAAGAAAGAGCTCCATCTTTGCCATCTGCTCACCCAGGCATACTCGAGACCCTGCAATGGAAAGATAAAGAAAGCAGAAATGGTTAGAAGTGATTGACAGTTATTCACTAACGCTTCTAGTTTCAATCCTAACAGAAGAATTTGGATTGGTAGGCTGGAGTTCATAACTTCAAGTGGTCTGCTCTAAAATTCTATTGTTGGAACCACCACTTTTATATTTGCCTTCAACCTCTTGGCCACCAACAGTTGTCCCCATAGCTTGCAGTTTCAAAAAGAAAGGGTCTTTTCATAGCTTAGGGGCTGGCATACGTAAAGCATATCCTTCTTGTGGTTTCCTTTGATTGTTCATCAAATGCAATCCTTTGGAAAAATATCTCTCACAACCAGAAGAGCCCAGATGACAAGAACAGTCAGTGATGAGCAACCTCCCAATCCCCGCCAGTAAAGTTCCAACATTTCATTATCAATTATAGAAGGATTTCTTTTATTTCTGTTTATCTATATATTGAATTTAGAGCCCACACTGCTCCTTTCATAAGCATTCAAAGCAGCTTATGGTATTTAAAATTATGGACAAAACTGGACAAGCCAAATAAACGCTGGTCTGAAGAACTGGAGGAAAGCATATCAAGGGGGGCTTGGATGAGCTTAGAGGGTCACCAGCCACCATTAAGATGTTATACAGCCTCTCTCTATTACTGTTATCTCAGCACAACAGTGGCTGGACGATGTTATAAATCACAAGAAAATGGCCATAGCCCATTTTGTACAGCAGAGGAACTTATTTTAAGTATTTTGGTAAACATGTGTTACCGATTTACCTGCTCCAAATGGCAAAAAGTCTTCCCTAGATATAAAATGTCCATCCTTGTCCAAAAAATGGTGTGGGTTGAACTTTTCAGGGGTCTCCCATCTCTTGGGATCATGAAGAACTGAGTTCAGATCTGTAACAACCAAAGTCCCCTGAAGGGAGAAAAAATGTATTTCAATACACAACTGATGAAGTTTGTAGAGCCTCCTCATTCCTTACCAATTTCCTCCAAGTGCATAAGGAACATGGTAACTACCTCCTCTTGCCACCTTGACTAAAATGTAAGCTAAGGCAATTCCTCCACCACCACCCCCATCACAGAATTTTTAAAGGTATTTGTTCCTTGAAAGTCAACTGAAAATCCATTACCCACCATTTTTACAAGGAACAAGTGAATGTGTTTGTGCAAAGGAGGAACATAGGGGTGGAAACCTGCTAGAGAAGTAGAATCCTCCCATGCAGGATGTCATTATTGACAGCAACCTCTCATGGACTGTGTTCATACAAGGCACTTAACCAGATCAGCTCCAGGCTTAGTGGCTGCGTACATACAACATGCTATAAGTAGGCAGTCTTAACCGTGGTTAGGTTTTGTGATGCTTAGGGTGCTGTGTGAACCTAGCCTGTTTCGTAATTTATGGCTCAATGTATTGTGCAAACACAGAAAATGGATTAAGTCAATAACCAAGTTAAATGAAGCTAATGTGGCTCTCATGAAATATAGCAGCAGGTTTCAGTGACTCTTGATCACTAAAATGTTGGTGATTCAGTATGTTACTGAAAAATTGTGCTTGTTAATGACTGCAGTAAAGTTTTTCAAGTTATTGAAAAAAGAGACCAAATCTGAAGTCTATGCCTTATGTTTCCCAACAATTGAATCATTACTTGTATTCAGTGCATGAATTTCTTGACTTTCAGATAAAAAAAATATAGGAATGGGTTTCAACATGTCCATTGCACAGGAAATTACTTAGTGAATGAAGTGTCCTCTCATATGTTAATTGTTCTTTACCAGCTTTAGTACCTTTGGGATGTGAAACCCATAGATGTTCACGTCTTTGGCACTTTGCCTAGGGATTCCAACAATTAGGACATATTTCAAACGAAGAACTTCATGAATTACAGCATAAGTATACGGGAGTTTCTTCCGATCTTGATAGCAGATTGAATGAATGGGATCCAAAGCATCTTCTATCTCCTTGCGGACTTTCTCTGAAGGCCATGATAGAAAACGAAAATTATCTCAGATGCTCCACTGCAATTGATGTGTTCACTGAAGAACATGGGATATATTCCACAAAGAACCTGAGGAAGAACTGAGGTTTAATGCAGGTTATATGCTGGTGTTTCTACACCTGGGGAGTTTCTAGATAGGTGGACTTCAACTCCCAGATTTCTCAACAATAGCCATTCTAGCTGGGGAATTCTGAGACCTGAAACTGACTCATCAGGGGGGTGCCTTTGTTGGGAAACACCACTACAGAGGACCCTGGTGTTTTAAGGAAAGCTGGTTGCTGTACATAAAAACAAGAAAATACATCAAAATGAACTGTGAGCTGCAGAAACTTGCAGGAACACTTATTTGGGAGAGCTGTGTCCTCAACTCATTTCAAATGCCACTTTCATTTTGCCATATTTGTCTTTACCTGCACAAAGTATTTTCTTTTTCCTTTAATGCTTTGGAGTATCCATCTTCAACTGAAATGCCCCATAGATTTGTGGACTTCAGCTCCCAAAATTCCCCAACCAGCACAGCCATTGGAGAGAACTGAGGGAGGTGAAGTTCACCTGGAGGGCATCGAGGCAGGGGGAAGATGCCTTAAAGGGACAACTGAAGGCACAAGAATATTTAGATTGTTTTTTTCTAGATTTAATTTATGAGAATAACTGACACTGTATCTGCAAACTTAACAGCAGACCTAAAAGTACTGAAGAAGAATGCTGATCTGTTGTGTTTTGTGACCAAGCTACTTCATTTTGCTGAATCCCTAAATTTCCATTCCCTTCCATAAATTCTCTCTTCAACTCCCTCTTTTTCAGCCAACAAGGTCCCTTCAAGAAATGACAAATGAGTCCTGTTTCATATTGCCACAAAGGGACTTTTGCAACATTTAACCGTTGCTTCAGTTGCCCTCAGGCATAGATATATCTGAATGTCTTGAAAGAAACAAGCTGATTCCTGAGAATTTTGGTTTATTGCACAAAGACAAAAAGTCAGTCTTTAGTGGTGTTTCAGAGTATTATTTTGGAGCCAATTGTTCATTTTAGATGTAACCACAACCAAACCATGAATTTTAGGTGAGCAGAATTCTTGTTCTCCTTGGGTAGGGATGGGTCATATATTCACAAAGATATACATACATACAGTACATACAGTGAATCTTCATTTCTATAAACTAATTGGTGAAGAAAGCATCAGTTATTCACAAATGCCCATAAAATATGAAAGCACAACACCACAGCAATTGATGTCATTTGTGTGATGATGTTAATATGTAACTGGCATCACTTGCTTCATGCAGATGATGCAAATGACATCCTTTGCATTATTTGCATACCAGTATCATGCAAATGACGTAAATTTGGTCTACTGCGTGCAAAGTCTGTGGATTCAAGACCTGCCAAGTTAAAGTTTCATTGTGTGTAGGATATGTGGACATGCCAATACAGTATCTTCTTTATCAGTTATGGAGCTTGATTAGCTATCAGTTTTCATCACAATATGTGATTAAGATCTGCAGTATGGCAAATTTTAATCAAATATAGAGAACTGGGAAGACTTGTAAAATAGAAGTTATTATCCAAGGCAGTGCAAATTGTGTGAGCTAAGACTCCTCTCCTGCAGTGGCAGGAAAATTTGCTTCAATACTGTCTCAATGAAAAGAAAGAAGATCCATTCTTATGCATGATAAGGATGGATCCAGAGAAGTTTTGGAGAGTAACATATTCTAATATTATAGAATCTAAGATAGCATTGTGGAGACAGCAGCACCTCAAAAGATGTCTGAGCAGAATAGCCAAGCAAGAAATCCCAGGGCTGCAAGCTAGGCAAGATGAAAAACATCCCTGAAGAAAACAGTAAGCTGCATCTGAAACACTGCCAAGAACACAAGGACATGTTCATATGAGCTAAGCTTGACTTCAAAGAGACTTTGTGTCCTTCCCAACCCCACAGAATGTAAAGGGGTTATGTAAAGGGGCTCTGTCCATCTACTTGTCTATCTTTCTGTCCATCACAGCTCTCTGAAAGCTGTGCAGAACAGGACCAAATCTGTGTGTGGAGAGATGCCAACAAAAGAAAGATCAAGTCTCAAAATAGGCCAGATCCACCCACGTGCTGTGGAGGAAAACATCTAGAAAAAAATTAAACCTAGCCCTAGCTCTAATCCTAACCCAATGTATGAAAGCGGCAGTCAGAACGCTTTGAACAATATTTATTTAAGCCTCTCTGTCATCCATCCTGGCCACGTGACCCAGTGTGGAGCTGCTGTAAGGACTTGGAAAGAATCCTAGGACCTATGTTCTGCGTGTTTACTCTTATGAAGGGCTGCCATATTTGGGCTGCAAAATCTAGACAGCCAATAAATGGCAGGATAGAGTTCTGTTATGACCATCTGGCATGGATTTGGATTTTGGCAGCTCAGAGAGAGTAGTCCTCTTGTTATGAGAAGGAGGGAAAATCTGATGTAGGAAAAAAAAAAAGCAGGAGAAAATACATATTCCTATCAAATGCATATCGAAGACATTGAGTTGAGTTTACTATCTTATGTCCTTTCAAGACACCAGTCAAGAAGGCATTCACTTTGCAGTCGGTTCCATTAAGTAGTATGTCTTGCAGTTTGGGATTTCCTGTTTATAGTTGCCTGTTAGAGATGAGCAAAAATCCGTCATCTGCTCAAGCAGGAAATCTTGGAAAACTTGGGATCTATCACTAAAACAAAAGCAAACATCCGTTTCGGAACCAAGAAAGACCATTTTGCGCCCTTGTAATATATCATTCTCACCTTGGACCTCGGGATAAGCCACCATGAGGAGCAATGCCCATTGCAGGGTAGTGGCAGTGGTCTCTGTCCCTGCGATAAAAAAATCAACAATGCACTGAGCTAGGTTGTCTTCGTCATAAGCAGGCTCAGGATCACCTTTGCTCTGTTGTAGATAACAGAAAATATGAAGTCTCATTTAAATCAACTTAAAAGTCCCAGTTCATCATTTACTACTGCGTTGGAGGGAGCTCCTCCCTTTGTAGGCTGACTACCTCTTTTATTGCCTTTCCATATGTAAAAAATATCTTTGCATCTCAAAGGGGTCCACAAATCTTTGGGGGTTCTTTGCTTAGGATTCAAGGTTGAATCTCCTTTGAGAAGCAATGTAGGCTTTGCCACCTATTACCACGGAGGGGAATTGGGTCTAGTTGTGACTTGAAACAGAGCAACAGAGGGGGGATAATGATTGGCAAAGGGGGCAGCAAATGTCATGCCAATAGAGTATTCTGCAAATGGGTGGAGAACATGTCAGTTCAGCATTGGGAAAGGCCTTCTGAAATCTCTCTCAGGCACATTCAACAAAAAACAACTCCTTCGAATTGCATAAAAAGTATATAAAAAGATAGGACAGTGTCCTCTTTTTTCTCCCTTGCTCTCTGTACTTGATTACCTGTTTTGTTACTGTCTTTCCATTCTTTTTTAATGAAATGAGTGCACCCCACTTCCCAAAATAGGTATTCCTGAAAGCTTGAGCTCAGCAGGAGTTGGCATTTGCATGAAAATACTTGAAACCCCTGCTCAGTTGCAGAATGCAAAACATTTCTTTGCTCAGAACAGTTTGGTTCTAGATATGGTTGGTAGATCTCTGCTTCTTTAGGGAGAAACTTACAGAGGTCTATTCTGGACAACTCGCTATCATCCTAAATGCACTGATTAATACCCAAAGCTTTCCTGCAGCTTCCAAAACCTCTGTCTTTCTACCTTATGGTATATTATTTGGAACTGCCTCCCCAATAATTGCATAACATTCAAGATGTAATTGCAAGGTGCATGTAGAAAGGGTGGAGCTCAATCATGCATTTGCAACCACCATCTTGACTTTTTTGACACGCACACACACTGCAAATGTCCCTGATTGCAAAGCAATAGCTGGCCTTCTTCTATGCCTTAAAATGTTGCTCACATTAATTATGCCTTAGGACAAGCTCAAATGTGGAATGGACTCTAATTTGCAGCACTTTAAAGTACATAAATCGAAGTCCATAGGAAGGTTCTCTTAACATATATCAGTTGCCACATGGAATCATGAGACATCTCATCCAATCATGGGGGAGTGAAATATACTCAAATCTTTCCAATTATTTTCATGCATGTTTATATATAAGACTTACTAGCCATTTTAGCTTAAATCTGTTGGATTGAAGAACTTGGTAAGCTTTTTTGTATTTAGAATCAAAATAGATTCTGATGGAATGAGAAATTTGTTTTTCGAAAACAGCTTTCAAGAGAGCTTATTTCCATAAGTCTGACCACAACAAATCCAGCATACATAGACCATACCTGTATCCTTGAAAAGAATACATTAGACCAGCTCACCCCAACTTGATGACCTCCATGTGCTAGAGAATCCCCATCATATTTCGCAGGCGCCAAGTTACGAAAGACTACATTAGGCGTTTTCATTCTATTACAGAGGTGAAAGTGATTGGGAACCATCTAAATGCAAATATTATCTAAAGCCCATAAAAATCTCTTGCTGGCACTGCAGATGTTCCTGTTTCATCACAGCTGGGCTGATTCCTCAGAGGAATGATACTTGCACACAAAAATGCATACTTCATTAATCAATCAATCCAGACATGCAATTTGCTTCAAGCAACAAAATGGCAGGAAGGGTAAGTGAAGGAAGGAATGTATATCTGAACACTGCAGCAAGATTGTCCCATATGTTGGCCCTAGCAAAGTGGGATGCTGTACTGAGTTCTGAAGACCCACAAAAAAATTTTTCCATGGGGCCAGACACTTACTTTCTCCATCTGAAGAAGATAGTAATCAATGAAATCTTGGGGCTCATGTAGTGACTGAAGTTCCTTGTGCTTCTCTATCTCTTCCTTTGCAAATGAAATAATACAGCCTAAGCAACACAATGCCCTCTGATGAGGCCCTGGAAGACATCTCATCAACCGTGGAAACAACTCATACAGCTAAAGGAAAGATGAAAGAAAAATCCTGTCATGATAATATAATCAGCCAATTACTTGAGTTTAGCACTTTGATAATATGGTCTGAATAAGTCATAATTCTTAGGCTATATGGCTTGTATATGTTCACTAAATTGCTCTTGGATGCCAGGGGGCAGAATTGATCAGGGACACACTTTTTACCTAATTGGACCGGTTCACGTGTTTCACTTTTTGCCTGGAAGGCTTCGTCCATCACACCTAGATTATGAATCCACATTAGAGAACTGTAACTTTTGCTTCTTAGGATTATATTAAAAGATAGTTCCAAAGATTAAACTTGAATGATTAGAAATACGGTAGATGGATCGGCCATGCTGACCCCAAAACCAAGGCACGATCTTTCTGGGAATATTCTGCTGACTTATCTTCTTTCTTCAGGTGAGATCCTGAAATGGTCAGATGCTGCTATGAGCAATTATTTGTCTACATTTTCTCTGTCTGTGTGTGCCTTCAAGTCAGTGTTGACTCCTGACAACCATCTGGACTAGTCCCTGCAGTTTTCTTAGCCAGTTTTTGGAAGTGGATTGCTGTTGCCTACTTCCTAGGGCTGAGAGAGAGTGACTAGCGCAAGATCACCCAGCTGGTTTCATGCTTAAAACAAAGAACTCTACTCCAAACTGGCTCTCCTACATTTTCAAAGAGTTTATAATAACAGTTATATTGATTTTTATTCTGATGCTTCTTCTCTGATCACGTTAGAGCTTGGGGGAAAGGGGTATTCATTTTGAATCTTACAGAGTACATGGCATAATCCATAATCCAAGCCTTTTTGGATTCTGTGAGTCCAGTGATAAAAGGGGGAGGAAGGGGGGTAAACAGAAATCAGATGTGGCACTTGTTTGACAAAGCCTGAACTAGAGTTTGGTGAGCCATATTGTTGAACTTCCACCCCATCCTTAACATAAAAGGTAGTGTTATAATTGGAAATTCCAGAGCTGCAGACCACAATGGATGTTGAAAAAGCATCTCATAAGAGGGCAATAGCAAGCCACTTCTGCACTCTCCCAATAAAATTGTACAGACATGTCCAAATAGTTCTCCGGATCAAGGCCAACTTAAGGACACTTTACTAGAACTTTTATCAGGCTGCTACCAAGACATCCTATGTCCCCAGTGAGGGCATCAGTGGTGATTTAAGTTCCAAATTCCACATTCCAATGTATTGGAGGCAATGAAGTAGGTGGACTGGACTATGAGTCAAAAATACTTATAGGCACATATACCTATAGAGGCAGGGCACACATAGGGTGGGGGGAGGAGGAGGATAAACCTCCCTGAAACGGTAGTGAAAAGTTTTCACTTATTTGGGGCACTGGGTCCACCTAAAGGTGGCATCGGCTTTTGATAGGTTTTTCTGTGAGTCTCTGGCCTTAATTTTTTAAAGCCTATCTTGCTCCTGCTTTGTTTGAAACCATTAATCTTTGAGAATTCAAGATTCAGTGATCGGTTATTATACTATTTATCCCACCTCTCCCCAAAATAATTCCAGTAAAGACTTTAGGGTTTTGCTGAACTTCAGGTTTGAAGAGGGGTGCATGGAGTTGCTCATGGGGGCACTCTCAATGAGTCCTTAAAACAGTTGCCTTCCTGGGATCATGCCCTCCACAGCTAAAACTCTGTTTTAAACCCTGGACTCTTTTGTTTACATTGATAAATGAATCTCTGTAATAAAAGTTATCAGAAAGATGATGGAAGATGGGATAATGATCTCTAGAAGACCTGTCTAACTCAGTAAGCAAGAAGACAACTCACCAGATAAAAAAAACTGCCTCCAAATTTTGCAAAATAATTAAAGTCTTGTAACATTTTCTGGAATTTTTCATCTTCAACAGAAAATCTGTATCCAAAAACCACAGTGCATATCAAATTGGAGACTGCATTGGTGATGGGCAATGAAGGATCTAGCGGCTGTTCTGGAAATGAATAAAAATTCACCATCAGACTGATATTATTGTACTTTGCCTATTTATATCAACCGTGAGATTTCAGGACAGAAGAAAGGAGGTAGCTGAGAAACCATCAATTAACATTTATGTTTAACCATTAAAAAAAAACAGAAATATCACTCTGAAACATACAGAGATTGTACATAACATACCTTTTGCACGGGCAAAGACCTCAACCAGCCGATGGGCCTCTTCTTCTATTTGACCCTCCATGCCTTTCTTCCCCAGTCCAAGTTTCCGCATAGTAACTAGACCAAACCGCCTCTGGTGCTTCCAACTTGGACCATTTGAAAATATAATACCTGAAGCCATCGGAAATCAGTGAAAAATTATACTAATAAAAATGGATCACTAAAATATTGTTGGATAGCTTAGATGAAGTTTGTTTTCATGCAAATTATGCTTGGACAACCCAGAACTCTCCTTTTCTCAGTATCTAAGAACAATATGGTCAGTCAGGCAAAATTAGCTTCTATCTGTTCCAGTGATGCAAGGGAGACTATCAGAATCAAATTGCATCCGATCTGAAATTGCATGCGTCATCTTAAATAGAGACACAGAAGTCAAAGGCCTACAATATTCAGCCATTATTATATGGTTTTCTTTACCCCCTCCCTGCACTATCTTCTGCCAATTATGTCTCACATCTGCCTTTTTCAAAGTTATAACTGGATTTTTCCATGTTGATTGTGCAGGTTCCCAAAACTTCTGTTTGAAATCTTTGCTCAAATATTCCAAAGCTATTGAGTCTATGATCTTTTCACTTATGGGGAAAGCCTATAGGTCCTCCCCTGTAAAAAAAAAAAAAAGCCTTATCATTAAATAATTTGATTCCAGGTACAATTACAACCAAGCAAAACTTGACTATCATGTCTCCCCTTAGTCTTCTCTCTGGACTGAACATCCCAAGTTGCTTCAGCCTGTCTTCATTGGGCACAATCTCAATGGGCCTATGGGATGTTTGGAAGCTGGGGCTGAATCTTTTCTATCTCAGGTATCTGGAAAAATGATGATATGGTGGAATTGTGCATATGTTCTTACTCTACAGCTACCAGCTATCTTACTCAGACAATATTAAGTCAAATAAAGATTTTATCTGATGTGGTAAGGCACTGAATTAATGAAAAAATTGAGACATAATTCTATCAGTAGTAGATCTATCTATCTATCTATCTATCTATCTATCTATCTATCTATCTATCTATCTATCTTCT